AACTCCAAGACCAACAGTGCAAATTTCAGACTTTCTGACCTCTTTATTGTGCTGACATCAAAAAAGCTATTTTTTTTTACTTTGTTGCAGTTTTTTTTCTTAGATATACTATGTATATAGATTAGAGTAGAAACTAGTTTAAATAGTAGTATGTAATTTTTATAAAGCCCAACACAGACTTATAATTGTAACCGTCCAGTACAGATAAAAAATCTTGTATTTAATTTAATGTTTTTTGTCTTCCCTTTACTCTATTCATTTCTTGCTTGTATTTTTTTAATGTATTCCTCTATACTTCTGTATTTCTTTAAAATTTTTTCTTTTCTTTCACTTTTCTACAAGTAGATATTATTAGATTAGTGATATTCTATTGTAGGTGGTGATCAGATGAGCTCTCTGATTAGAGTATTATCTTAATTGATCATATCTTGCTAATGTGACAGATTGTCTATAGATGCTCGAATAGCTTTTAATTATGTTGCAGTAGCTGTAGAATATCAGAACTATAGTTTTATTGTTTTAAATCTTTTATAAGATGATAACTTGAATAAACAAAAGCACTGGCATAATCTTGTCTAAATAGAAAAAAAAATGCTTACTTTTGATAAAATTTTTTTTAAAAAAAATAGTAGATCAATAAAACTTAGAATTATTTCTTATAAGTTTTATAGTTATATAGTAATAACCTAAAGTCTTTAATATCTCTAGTACTAATTTTGTCATTTTGTATTTTCAAAATATTCTTCTGATTTAAATGCTGAATATAATAAAAGAGGTCATTACAGAAAAGTTTGACTTCTACAAAAATATAACAAGTAGTCTGCTTCTTGGTTTTATACTCTTGATACTTTATCAACAACATATCTACTTGTATAGAACCAAGTTTATTAAGTACTTTAATGTCTTCTATAATGTTTTTTTTGAAGTTGTTAACCAGAAGATCATTAGAAAGAATTGCTGAATATATAAATATATTGTTTTTAATACTGTCTAATAAATACTATATTATAAACACAAAACTGTTAAATAAAATTTTATAACAACCAAATTAAAAATTTAATATTTATTAGAGAATTTATATTTGAAGCACTTTATATCAAACTATAGTAAAATCAATATAAATAAGAATTAAATTAGAGTTAAAGTTAGGATTAGGGTTAGAATAAAGGTTTTGTTAGAATAAAAACTTTACAGAAAATATTTTTTATTAGTTACACAACAGGGTTATCATAGTAAAATTTTGAGATATCTAAGCAACTCTTTCTGATGATCATCTAGTCAACAAAAAACAAGAAACTGAACTACAGTCAGCGCTATAAAAGACTCTTAAGTAAATAATAAACTTAGTCCTATGGAAGTAGGTGTGTTGTCAACAAAGTATCAAGAGTATAAAACTGGGGAGTAGTCTACTTTGGACTGGTTTTAGTAGAGGTCAAGCTCTTCTTCTGGCAGATTTCTCTGCCTATTCAGTATCCAAATCAGAAGGATATTTTAGAAACACAGAACGTCTAGGACAACACTAGGAGTATTACAAGCTTAAGGTATATCTATACAACCGTAAAACTTACAAGGAACAACCACAGAAAAGTTTCATTAGCCCACCACTTTTTCGAAAAAATTTTGTTAAAAAGTGGGCGTTTTAGCTTACTTTCTCCAAAAGATTGACACGTAATTTTCCAAAACAAGTTAGTATTGTTTACCTGTCTAGAAATGGATAAAACTTTCATAATGGGATATCAGGCAGACGTCTGGATTAAGCAACCATATACAGACTGTATGACAAAACAAATGGTATATATGCTTCGACTGAAAAAACCGTTTGACAATACTTTGAGACTTTCATATCTTGGGCTACTCTGTTTTATTTAGCTGTTTTTTTTTATGTTTTTTTTTTACTATACATATATTATTAGAATAGAGTTATATACAAAGCTTCTTTACCTATTAATATGTAATTTTTTAAGGCCTAACACAGGCCTATAACTGTAACCTATTAGATTCTCTTTTCTTTTTCTTTCCCCTTTCATCTTTGTATTTGTTTTTTAGTTTTAGGTTATTTTTTTTTTTAGTATCTCGCCTTTAGTATTAGTGTTAATGTTAGTAAAAATTTTTTTTTCTTTTCACTTCTCTACGAAAAGATGTCATCAAATTGGCGATATCCTATTGTAGGGCGGTGGTCTGATAGTGTTCATCTGAGAGAGATAATATTTCTATTTTGAAACTTATCATTAGTGTTCGAAAAAGTCAGCACGAATCGGATTCGGATTTGTGCGGATCCAAACCGTCAAATTAGGTTTGGCCCCTGAAATGTCGAATTGGGCTCGGATTGAGCGGGATTGGGCCTAATTTTAGGTCATGTCTTTATATAATCACTCTATATGATAAATTCGAATTTGTCACGTGATAAATTCGAATATATCACACCTTGTATCACAATATAAGTGATAAATTCGAATTTGTCACATGATAAATTTGAATTTATCACTTATATTGTGACAAATATATGTGCCAAACTGTCGGATTGGCATGGATCACTCCCAGATTTAATCCGAATTATGGATTCAGATCGGATTCAGATCAATCCCGGATTAACCAGGATTTTTAATCCGTTTTCGAACACTACTTATCATGATATATTCATAGGGATGTATCTGCTCAGTGCGGCCAATCACTTGTAAGTGCTCTCAAAGTAACTGCAGAATGCCACTTCTAAATATTATGTTAAAGCCTTTTATAATACCATACAATCGTAAAGTAATAAAGAAGATTAAAGGCAAGATGGCCTAAGTGGAAAAAAAAAAAATTTTTTTGAGATATTAAAAAGGGTGCACCAAAAATAAATGCTCTATTTATTATAATATTTTTGAAAATAAAAAAAAATAAAAACAACTTTTTTTTTTTTTTTAATATTAAGGTGAGATCACGCCTCTGATTTTTATTAACATATACTTATTATGACAAGTCCTTTATATATACATTAACGCATCACTACAGAGACTTAGACTAATTTATCTATAACCTAAATCTATTAGAGTGTTACATACCCCACACATGTCTCACCTAGTTTTGCACTTCCCAACTAACTATTTCTAATAATACCATATTCCCTCCACATCTCACACAATCAGTCATAACTTTCAATTTAGTACATCGGGTGTCCACTCCTAATGAGCTTCCAATTTGGTATACCTGCAAGCATGATCCACTGCAAGTTTCTACTAAGGTACTTTATTCGTGTAATCATAATTGATACAGGTGGCCTTTCTACAGCCTCGTATCTTAAGCCAGGACTTGCTGCCTAGTTAGGTTCGCTATATAACTGAGTTGGTATTATATTGTCAATTAAAGACTTATCTTGGATTTGCACTACCTTAACCAGTTTGCATCTCTTCATGCACCATCTCTTCTATGAATGCCTTAATCTCCCACTTATCTGCTCAGATACTACTAACCTGTATCTCAAGCCAAGCTCTGCTGCTGCCACTGGTTTGCCTATCTCAGAACTTAATATTTTTTTTTCTAGTATAGTAATACCAACTAATTCGTTTGTACTTCCTCATATGGTGTATTACCAGAACTATATTGCATAGCTACTTTAATGACCTATTTTGTTAAAGACCAGCCTAACACCACGAAATTCCTTAAATGACAAGCAGTTCTACTTCCAACCATAGGCCTTGCGTCATATTACTAGGAGGCATACCCCAATTCATCTTGACTTTCAACTTGATTCTTCATCATTGGTTAGTGTTGTATTATTGTTGGTGTATTCTGTCAAAGACTTCCATATAGATATGATCAGAACTCCGACTTGATGCCTTTAGATGTACTAGATTAGCTAGCCTGCCTCTATGAGATTACCTTCTTTAGCTAGTTGTTCCCTCTACCAGAAGTGCTTCTTGTTTAGGTAAGGCCAATCCTTTATCACAGCCCTTTTACATGTTCACTGCTTCTCTTACCATTCCAGTTTCAGTAATATCGTATCACTCTTCCAAGCAAGTACCTAGCACCATTTCCAAATTAAGACTAATGTGCATAATATATTAATTATCCTTTCAAGCAAGTACCCCACAAGTTGGATGTGAGGATGTTGGTATTGCTTAATATGAAGGTGAATGGATATTGATGTTGCCTCTGAGTCACCCCAACCAAAGGACTAACTTGCATAATGTTCTACAACCTAGACCTTCTGTAACGCCACTGTCACATATGATGCCTGCACTCCATGATCAGAAATTCCTATTCATAAACTGTACTTGCACTTGAACTTTCCACAGGGCTCTGCATTCGATTATAGCTCCATAAGGTTACAGTAGCAAATTCAAAATTTGCCACCAGCTTGACTCGAACCATTGACCTTGTCTGTGGGGGTTTGGGAGCTTAACCAGTAAGCTACGGGGCCCAAACCCTAAAACCAAACTTTATCTTAGTTTAATTTTAATTTTATTTAATTGAATAAAAATATTTATTTAAAAAAACAAATTTTTATAAAAACAAATATTAAATAATAAATGAGTGTTGCTAAAAGAAAAACCAAAAATTTAAATATAAATCATATTTAAATTTTTGGGGTTTCTTTTAGCAACACTCAAATATCAAATCAAAACCTTTACAAAAAAAATTTTATAATTAAAAATGTTAAATATTTAATATTTTATTTCACTTTTGCCTTCTAAATAAATTTGTTTAGCATGAAATTTTACATATTTACAATTTTAAAATTAGTAAATTTCTTCTTTTTACAAAATTCTATGAATAAATATACAATTTGTATATAAAGTTTTAAATGTAACCTTTCTCCATTTTCGATGTATTTAATCCTAAAATTTGAAAAAATAAATTAATTTGAAAGTTAAAAATAACGAGGAACTCAAAGTTTATAGTAAACTTATGTTTTATTATAATTTTTATTATAATTTATCACTCTATATGATATATTCCCTGACTGATAATAAATTACAAATTTGGATATAGGCGATAATGAATTTTTTATGCAAACTTCAAAACAAATTCACCAAATCATTTGACAAACCATTATTTTGATGATTAGAAGATTGCGTAGACGTTATACTATTGTCATTAAACAAATCCAATAAATCGTCCACATTGGCAGTTGGCGTGAAAGACATGGAGGATGACGGAAGAGATGATGTGGTTGTAACAGGAGTTGTAGTATCACTAAAGTCTAAATCCAATAGATTCTCAATATTTGTTTTAGTTTGAGCCTGGATCGGTGACTCTCGAGAAGCCTCTTCTTGTTCCCTATAATAAAAGTATAATATATGGTCAGCCAACTTAATTAAATTTGAATAATCTAAAGATTAAGAGCTATCATACTCGATAGCCCGTCGTTGAACGGCGTCAGCACCAAAACGACCTCTCCCTAGGAACGTTTCAGGAGGTTTATGATATACGCTGGCAAGAGTCGAGATGTTACTAATCAGCTCTTCAAGTAAAGAATTAGACATCGTGTTACTTTGAACGGATATCGGAGGTTTATCTGACAGAACAACAGCCTAAAGAAATGATCAAGCAATTATTGCAAAACGTAAAATCGGTCCTTGACTGCGTTGCTATTATGAAGGATATGAAAGCCAAGATAGTACCTTGGCAGCCTGAGGATCTGTCGATAACAATCTCCAATAAATATATGCACGATCTCTGATGTCAGGATTATCACATTCGGACGTGGCGGTCTGTAAAGCACGTTGTACAATATTTTGTGTTGATTGTGGTTTTTTGAGGAAAAGTTTGACGGTTGCGGTAACCAACTGTAATTGAACCTTAACAAAATTGCCACATAAAATAATAAATTGTTTAATACGAATATATTTTAAATGATTTAAAAAAATTAACGCAGACTTTTTACATACCTGAGAATTTTCATCCCGGAATGTATCCAAAAATGTAACAATTAATTCGTCAGCATTTTCAATTCTCTCAGCATATTCACCAATAATCCAAATTAAAGAAGCTTTTGCTTCTGGCTCGTCTAATGCATCTAAATTCTGGCATAATGTTGGAATAATTCCTTCATATTTATGTGGATATTTTCGAAATATGTCCTAATATTATAAATAACATAAATAAGACAATAATAAATAAATAAACAATGCTCACAACCATACCTTGATAACAACAATCGCTTCCTGAACTACATAATTAACTTTAGTATTAATCAAATCTAACAAAACATTAACACATCTTTCCGAGGCTTCACTAATCTTGATGGCACATTGTCCAATTGCTCGAACAGATTTTCTTACAAAATCAACGTCTACTTCAGATGCATATCTAATCAAAATATAAGGTACATGGAATAAACATTTGAACACCATTATTTCCAACCTTTCTTTTTTTCGATCTTACTCTTTTAATTCCGATAATAATTGGTCAATATTTTTTTCATTAGCCAACTTGATCATAATTTCAAGTTTTTCAAGTTTTACGTATGGTGGATCATTATATTTGCAAAAGAAGACACGCATTTCATTTGCTAAAATTTCAGGACGTTTTTGCAATATAATGTTGATGTTTCTTAAGGCAACATATTGAACTTCAGGTTCAGATGCCAATAAAGTAACTAAATATAAAGGAAATAACTTTGTCAAAAGATAAGTGTATATGTATTTGTTTGTTTAAAGTTAATACAAACCAAGAGGAGGTGCCATTTTTCTCACTAACTGCCGTATTGCCTCATCATTTTTTATTGTTCTCATATAAATCATAACAACCTAAACATAAAACGAAATTGTTATTTTCTTGTGTGGAATTTGATTTCGCCAATACTTCAAATATTATATTAATCAATTTAATACCTTAATTGCAGACAATACTACACTTCCGTTTACATGTTGAAATTGTGGAACAACACGTTCAACAATATGTTCAGCTTCTTTAGAGTCTGCAGGTTTATATTCAGCCAGTGCAGTAAGAATAGCTATCCGACCCCATCTTAAATTATTTAGAAATATTTTAAAACATTTAACACAAAAACTTAAATATTGTTTCAAGAAAATATATAAGAAATCAAACGCACTCTGTACATTCATTAAGAGCCACCAATAACTTTGTAAGTGTTGGTGTATTGATTATAAAAATATCTTTGGTAGAAGAAGATTCGTTTATTTCTGCAAGCGCTGTAACAGCATTTGCAACCACCTAAATAATATAGAATAATTGTAAGAGAGGCACAATGGCATTTAAATAAAATATTAACAAAATAATCAGTAAATA